TGCTACAGCTGTTTCTGTATTAGATGGTACCCTAAGTCATGTTATCTACAAACATTACAGGATTTTAAAAGTTTGTGTGGATCCCAACATAGGTGAACCTGTGGGATACCAAAGGAAGGTATCTGGACTTGTGGGAAAACTGGCGAGGGACCCAATCCTAGAAGCCGATCCTGGTGGCATAGACAGGTGCAACCTCCAGAACCTCCTCTTACAAGTGCAAGTTTCCCAATTGCAGTGAGAGAAGCTGGAGCTGGGACCAGGCCCCCTCAGGGTCTGCTGTGAGATGGAGTCTGGTAGCCCATCACAGGGTCTCATGCAGATAGGTAACTTCTAGCCTGTAAGGTATAACCAAGTCTCCTTCCAAGATACAAACAAGTCCTTGTGTGGACAGTGCCAAGCAGGGCCCATGACTAGACAGGACTGCAGCTGAGTCACAGAGCAACTTCAAGGTCCACGGCCAAGACCAATGTTGGCAGGCAGACAGGTCAAGCATTTGTATGCTTGATTTGCCCTGGACGCTTTCACAACTGGCTTTAACTTCATGCACAGGACCAGATGGAGACATATGTCCACGCTCTGGTGGAGAACCCAGGAGCGTGATCTGCAGGTCAACCACCTGCATGCAGGTCTGTACTCTCAAATAATCCTCCTAGGTCTTGGTCTCTGCTAAGGTTCCACAGCCTCCTACCCAAATCTCTAGGCTCCTACAAAGCGACAGACTATGGATGGGTGCATATTTCTTGTCGTGTTGGGATATAAGCTATTTACTTCCTATTCCACCACCTTACTTTGTCACTCTCCCTTGCTTCTTTGTGACAGGCCTCTAATATTTAAACACCAGTCCTTTTGTACTTTCAGGAATTCTTGTGAGGAATTGTGAACAGTTACACATCTAATAGTGTCTACATTATCATCAACATGATGGCTAGGACCAGGAAACTGGTTTAAGGGACAAAAGAGTAGAATGCAAATGCAGGTTTCCTCTCCTCTTTCTTTGTGTTTGTAATTCAGATGCTTATTGGGATTATTATAGATTCACATACAGTTGTAAGAAGTCACACAGGGGCTGGCACCGAGGCTCATTAGGCTAATATAGACAAGACCAGCCAATTCGGTTAAGGGGCAGTCTATGCCCCAACCAATCACAGCCTGTTGACAGGGAGTTTCCAAAGCCATCCAATCACAGCCTGTTGCCAGTCAGGCTCTTGTTGCCAGGCAGTTTCTGAAACCATCCAATCATGGCCTACTGTCAGTCAGTCTCTGTTGTCATGTGGTTTCCTCTGTCGTCATGTGGTTTCCAAAGCCATCCAATCATGGCCTGTTGCCAGGCAATTTCTATTGTCAGCGGCCATCTTGGCATGACCTTTCACCTCTGTGGCCATCTTGGCATGAACTTTTCACCTCTGTGGCCATCTTGGCATGAATTTTTCACCTCAGCAGCCATCTTGATATGACCTTTTCACCTAATTCCACCACATTTAATGCCTTAAATATTATGATTAACTTAATACATTATCCCTCTTAGTAGATTTTTTGTCTGTTCTACTTAATATGACTGGTTTAATTCTGTAATTAATACACAGTTATTCTTAAGTGTTAAAAATTAACTGAAATGTGATCCCTGTTAAACATAAGAGTGGGAATAAGAGAGGGAAGAGATGTATAATTTGGGACATGCTCAAGCTGACTTGCCCCAAATGGTAGAGTTAAAAACATAACAGGGGATTCCAATTCAATCCCATCAGGGTGGCATGTACCAATGCCATCTCACTATTCCAAGTGATCAATTTCAGTTCACAATTGATCATAATGAAAGGACTAAGAGTCAAAGGGAGCACATAAACAAGTCTAGTACCTGCTAACACTAACCGATGGAATAAATAAAGGGGGGAGTGATCCAACATGGGAAGTGAGATACTCAGCAGACTCATAGAATGGCGGATGTCCTAAATAGCACTCTGGCCTCAGAATCAGCCCTAAAGGCATTCGGATCTGGCTGAAAAGCCCATGAGAGTATTTCAGGCATGGAAAGCCAAGACACTCTGGCAAAAGATCTCTGTGAGTGAGATCCCAGTGGAAAGAACAGGTCTTCAAAGAAGGAGGTACCTTTCTCTGAAGGGAGGAGAGAACCTCCACTTTGACTATGACCTTGTCTAAACAAGATAAGAATCAGAGAACTCAGAGGGCTTCCATAGCCTTGGAAACTCATGACTGGAGCATAGGGAGACTACTGATGCCATAGACAGGAGTGTCAATTGGTAAAGTCAACAACAGGAGTCACTGTGCACTTACTCCTCATGTAGGATCTCTGTCCTTAATGTGCTGTGCATTGAGATTTAATGCTATAACGAGTACTCAAATAATATATTTCACTTTGTGTTTCTATGGGGGTGCAAACTGTTGAAATCTTTACTTAATGTATACTAAACTGATCCTCTGTAAAAAAAAAAATAAATTATCAACTCCCAACTTGACTCTCACTGGGATTAAACATGACAATAGGTCTGATCTGATTTCATCATCATTTAAAAAAAATCATCTATTATTTTTCACTTTATGTTTCTGTGTGGGAGCAAACTGTTGAAATCCTTACTTAATGTATACTAAGCTGATCTTCTGTATATTAAGATAATCGAAAATGAATCTTGATGTGAATGGAAGGGGAGAGGGAGTGGGAAAGGGGAGGGTTGTGGGTGGGAGGGACGGTATGTGGGGGAAGTCATTGTAATCCATAAATCGTACTTTGGAAATTTATATTCATTAAATAAAAGTTAAAAAAAAGAAATACAAAGAAAAAAAAATTATGACTTTTGGGGGCTGGCATTGTGGCACAGCAGGTTAAGCTGCCACTTAAGATGCTCACATGCTGTGCAGGTGCTAGTTTGAGTCCCAGCTACTCTACTTCCTATTCAGTTCCCTTCTAATGTGCCTAGGAACCCAGCAGAAGATGGCCCAAGTGCTTGGTTTGCTGCCACCCACAAGGGGCCCAGATGGAGTTTCAGGCTTCTGGCTTTGGCCTGACCTAGCCCCAGCTCTTGCAGCTACTTGTTGGAGTGAACTCCACTTGCTCTCTCTCTCTCTCTCTCTCTCTTTCTCTCTGTAACTCTGCCTTTCAAATATATAAAAAATAAATCTAAAAAATGGTGACTTCCATTTGGAATATTGAGTCCATTAAATTACATCTGATATAATTTTCCATATTCTTTTTTCGATATACATTTGCTGCTTGCTCTTATTTTATAGTTGTCTAATTTTATATTTTTCCTTTTTTGCCTTCTTTTAAAAATATATTTGTTCTCCTTCAATAGTACTGTTGACAATTTAACAATATCTACAAAATTGCTTTTAGACACTCATCTAGAGTTGAAAATTTTTTTTAACTTAATCCACTTAGGTGTAATATTTACCACCTCAGATAAATTATTAGTGTCTTTCCGCCAATCCTTAGTTACAGTATTTAATTCTGTGTCACCTTGCCTGGGCTGTGGAATGCCCAATCAGCTGCCTAAATGTTATTCTGGTTGTGTCTGAGGGCATTTACAGATGAGATTTGCATCTGAATTGTTGGGTCAAGTAAAGCAGGTGACTCTCCCCAGTGTGAGTGGGCATTATCCAGTCTACTGAATGCCTGCCTGGAACAACAAGGCAAAGAGAAGTGAAGTCACTTCCTGCCTGGCTGCTTGAGCTGGGACACCCGTCTTCCCTGGCCTGCATTGCTCCTGCTCCCCAGGCCTCAGATCCACCCTGCAGTCGGCACCATGGACAGTGGCTCTCAGACTTTTCAACTTTGGCAGCAGCTTTCCTGGGTGGCAGCAGGCTGGGGTGCTTCTCAGCCTTCATAATCATGTGATCTGTGGGATGTTTATTCTTATTCTTCTTTATATGTTCACCTGAATACTGTGGTACTTTCTAATTTCCTCAGTTAATTTTTCTTTCTTTCCTGGGAGACGTTGAAGATGGGACACTATGATTTCTGTTTATTTGCTGTCAGACACCTTGACTCTAGATATACAATCATTATTTATCAGCATCAACATAAAATTATTAAGAATAAAGTTCATTAATTGAAGTGAGCAAAAAATTTGTCCATGGAGTTCAACTACTTTGGTCTATATTTTGTCTCCACCACTTATATTTGGTATATCCATTCTTTGGCAAATTACTTAATGTTCCTGGACATCTGCCTACTTGGTGATAAAGTGGAGTAGATAAGGGTAAGAACTAAAGGAAAGAAAACAGGGGCAGCGCCTTGGCCTAGTAGGCTAAGCTTCCGCCTATGACACCAGAACCCCATATGGGCACTGGTTCCTGTCCCAGCTGCTCCTCTTCTGATCCAGCTCTTTGCTATGGCCTGGCAAAGCAATCAAAAATGGCCCAAGTACTTGGGACCCTGCAGCTGTGTGGGAGACTGGGAGGAAGCCTCTGGCTCCTGGCTTTGGATTGTCTCAGCTCAAGCTGCTGCAGCTACTTGAGAAGTGAACAGAGTATTGGAGACATTTCTCTCTGTCTCTCCCTCTCACTGTTTGTAACTACTTCTCAAATAAATAAAATAAAAATTTTATTTTAAAATAAAATTTAAAAAAAGAAAGGAAGAAAACATTAAAGTGCTTATAACAAAACTGACGCATGTGAATATTCAGTGAATTGTCAACTTTAATTGTCATGATTTATATCAGTTTATTCACAGAGTTGTAAATGATTTGCCTTGTTTGATTCACATCTCACTATTTTTACATACTATTAGTGACTGTGGGGAGCAACTCGGACTAGACTAAGTTACTGGAATTAAGACTTATTCTATGCATCTGCTCTCCCACAATATGGCGCTGAGAAGGGAGAAACAGCCTCTACACAGCTGCCTCCAGTTCAACCAATAAACTGTAGGACCTACTCCTGATTGGAGGAGAGCAGCGTACTCGGCGTGTGGGTAGCAGAGTTGGGATTGGTGGAAGAGGACTATAAAGGAGGAGAGAGACAACATGCACCAGGAACATCTAAGGGGAACATCCAAGAGGAACACCTGAGGAACATCTGAGCAGCCCCCGAGAGAGCCGGCCGGTGGTGTGCTGCTCCCCTGCGGAAGTGGGGAAAGTGGCCAGGGGGAACCGCCCTTCCACGGAGGTGGAAGGGACGGCAGCCAACCCGGGAAGAACCAGCAGCAAACCCGGGAAGGGCCGAGCAGACAGAAGAACAGCGCAGGGTCCTGTGTCATTCCTCCACGAAGACGGGGAGCGACAGTGACTTTAGTAAAATGTTCCATTTGAATAACCCCATTAGCAGCTGAATTGTGTCACCCCAAAATTCACATGTTGAAATCACAACCTCCAGCAACTCAAGATATACCTGTATTTGGAGAAAAGTGAAGATGAGGTGGATAGGAAGGCATCCTGATCCAATGGTGTCCTTGTAAGAAAAGGAAGAGCCATCAGGAATGTGCCTGCAAAATAAGAAAGACCTGATGAGAACACAGCAAGAGCCAGCTATCCACAAGCCAAGGAGAGAGACCTCAAAAGTAACCTACCGTGTTGACACCCTGATCTTGGACTTCGAACCTGCAGAACTGTGAGGAAATACATTTCAGCCATCACAGAGTGTGCTATTTTGTGATTGCAATCCTGGCAAACAAATCTGCTTTCTAGCATTTTGTAACACTTCCCAGTGATTTCTGAGGTTTTCAGCTTTGGAGTTGCTCCATCAAAGTCGAGGTGGACAGGAGTCTGCGTTTTAAACTGCTCCAAGGATAATGAATTAAAAGGTAAAGGACAAGAGCCACCAGTCTGCAGAGTCAGTTCTAGAGGCTTTGTTGGTTTGCTTGGTTTGGTTTTTATAATCAGCCTACTTTATTATGCCCTGCATGTTTCTTAGCTCTGGCTTTGTAACATCTTGTAGGTGAGCAGTTATTTTCTGCCCTGTTACCTTAATTATGTACTTGTTATTTTCATCTGTAAACAGGCCTTTTTCCATTCTGTCACCTACTACTTCATTGTCTCATTAATATCTCTTCCATTGTCAGTACAAGTTCATTTAAATAGGGATAACTCCCCAGCTCTGTGGCATCTACCTGGGAATCATTAAATGGTTTCTATTTATTTCTTTCAGAGGAGATTGTCTAACTTCCTTGTGGTTCTCTTATCACCTTGCAATGAAATTATTTATGTATCTATCTCTTATGAATTGAAAGATGAGACCTTGTAACAGGTTTATAATTCATAATTTATTTATAAATTTATACATATATATGTAAGTATATATTAGCAAAATAACTCTATAGCAATAATAGCAGAAAGTTAGTATAAGTGCTATTAGTATCACTCAGTAAATCTGTTAAAATAAATGGCATAAAAGTACAATTTCCAACTTCCTTGCCCCATGTCCTTATTTCAGCATTGCAAAATTCTTAAAATCAGTGTCACTGGTATCATTTAACTCAAGCAGGAGTTTGCCTACCAAAGGTTAGGCTTACCAGTGAACATTCCACTTTGCTTTATTTTAACTAAGGATCCTTTCATTAACTTTTATTTGAACTTCAGTTCCTAGAAAAATCCCTGGTCTGTTCTTGGCAGAGGAACATCATCAGGCACCCCCTTGTGGGTCTCCAACTCCCCTTTCTGAAAACAAAGACAAACCACTGAGCGTGATTATTTTAGGTCATATGGAGATTACATCCCTGTGAAGCCCACCCAACTCTCCTGAAGCTCAGGGGTCAGCGTCATGCAGAGAAGTGTCTTGTGCAGGAAGTTGTATTGCCAAATAATTGCATCTGTGACATTTTTTAACCTGTTGGCTGCCAACATCAAAGAATTTGTGGAAACTCCTGTCTCTGCTCCTCTGCAGTGCTGAGACTGGGCCTATTGAGAAAGTGGGACCAAGACAACACAGCATTAGAGGACGTGGTGAAAGGAAGCATTCTCTTCCTCTGAACCTATCTCCATAGTCACTGTGCTTCACCTTGGAGACAACCTGCTCAGCCTCAATGGGCTTCGATGTGCTCCTGGATCAAGCTGGAAGTCTGGGGAGATTTCAGATCCTTCAGATTGCCTTCTTATTTGTCACCAGTATGATAACATACCCTCAAGCTCTGTTGGAGAACTTCACTGCAGCCATCCCTGGGCATCGCTGCTGGGTCCCCCTCCTGGACAACCAAACCGCCTCTGGCAATGGCTCTGACATCCTCAGCCAAGACGCCCTCCTGAGCGTCTCCATCCCGCTGGACGCAAACCTGAGGCCAGAGAAGTGCCGTCGCTTCACCCGTCCCCAGTGGCAGCTCCTTCATCTGAACAGGACCTTCCCCAATATAAGTGAGTCAGACACAGAGCCCTGTGTGGATGGCTGGGTGTACGACCAGAGCTCCTTCTCCTCCACCATTGTGACTAAGGTAAGAGTCCTCATTAAACCTCTTTATAGAGAAGTGATGTGAACTGAAGGTGTTTGGAGTTAACACAAAGAATGGACTGAGAATTCTCTACCAACTTATTTTATCAAATGAAGAAAGTCTTCATTCCTTCAGCAATTAGCAGTTGCTTATCTGTACCACAATATCAAGGGTGCTAGTATGGAGGTTAATGAATTGAACAAACTATACCTCAACCTACTACTATATCATTTTATCTGGAGATGATAATCAATTGAAGTGCTACTAGGCTTATGATATGCAAAGTCAGTGCTACTCAGTACTTACTGCAAAACTGATGCACAAAGCAAGTAAAGTAGAACCTGTATACATAGGATCCAGGCATCAGTCCTGTTGAAGCTCTCTAGCTGATTTGATGAGTGGCCAACACAAAAACAGATACATGGAGACAAACGGTCAATAGTACTAGTTAGCACAAAAATAAAAATGAAAATCAAAACCACAGGGAGAAATCATCTACCCCGGTTAGAATGGCTATCATCAAAAAGACAAAAAATAACTCATGCTGGCCTGTATGTGGAGGGCGGGAAACTCTTATACACTGCTGATGGAAATGTAAATTAGTACAGCCATTATGGAGAACAGTGTAAGACTTCTTGAAAAACTAGAAAGAGAACTGCCATATGACCTAGCAAACTCACCACTGGGTATATATTCAAAAAACATGAAATCATTATTTGTTCCACCACGGTTATTGCTCTTCACTGTAGCCTGGATTTGGAATTGACCAGGTTTCCATCATCACATGAATTAATAAAAAATATATGGGAGACCACATTGTGGTAGAGTGGGTTAAGATGCTACCTGCAATGCTGGCATCCCATGTAAGCACTGATTTCACTCCCATCTGCTCCATTTCTCTGCTAATGCCACTGGGAAAGCAGCAGAAGATGTCCCAAGGGCTTTGGCCCCTGCCACTCATGTGGGAGCCTCTGATGGGGTTCCAGATCCTGGCTTTGACCTGTCCTAACCTTGAGTATTATATCCATGTGTGGAGTGAACCAGTAGATGAAAGATCTTTCTCCGTGTGTGTCCCTCCCCAAATCTCTGTAACTCTGATTTTCAAGTGTGTAATTAATTTCTTTCAAATGAAATATATATTCACAATGGAATCCCATTCAGTTATTTAAAAAGAATGAAATCTTGTTATTGGCATCAAACTGGATGGAACTTAAAGACATCATATTAAATAAGTCAGTCACAGGGAGACAAATATTACATGTTCTTTCACATATGTGGGAGTTAAAATAAGCCTCAATATGAACATAGAATGTTGATCACTAGAAGCTGAGAGGAATGTGAGGGACAGATTGGACTTTGGATTTTAAAACACAGTGTCACTCCCCGATTTGCGGAGGAACGACACAGGACCCTGCGCTGTTCTTTTGTCTGATCGGCCCTTCCTGGGTTTGCTGCTGGTCCTTCCCGGGTTGGCTGCCAACCCCTCCACCTCCGTGGAGGGGCGGTACCCCCTGCCACTTTCCCCGCTTCCGCGGAGAAGCGGCACACTGCCGGCCGGCTCTCTCGGGGGCTGCTCAGATGTTCCTCAGGTGTTCCCTCAGATGTTCCTGGTGCATGTTGTCTCTCTCCTCATTTATAGTCCTCTTCCACCAATCCCAACTCTGCTACCCACACGCCGAGTACGCTGCTCTCCTCCAATCAGGAGCAGGATCAGCTCCTGCAGGTTATTGGTCAAACTGGAGGCAGCTGTGTAGAAGTTGTTTGGTCTCTCTCTCAGCGCCATATTGTGGGAGAGCAGATGCATAGAATAAGTCTTAATTCCAGTAACTTAGTCTAGTCTCAGTTGCTCCCCACACAGAGGAAAATAAAGAGTGGCTAATGGAGAGTGGCAAATATGTATGATGTTAAAAATATTGGAAGCTGGGAGAGTGCTACATAGAAACTCACATAGCTCTAAAATTTTAGTTTTTTAATTTTAAAACTTCTAAAATGAAAAGTTTTAAAAGAAAAAACTAAGCCATTTTGTAATAATTAGTATAAACACTTGAGTGACATGCTAATGATATGATGAAGGAAAAAAAACCTTGTATTTGCCTAAGTATTTAAATTTTGGTAACTTAAGTTACTTAAAATAACATTTTATGTGAATTTAATTTTGGTACCTCACAAATGTGTTGACAGTGATACAGTAAAGGGATTTGGTGCTCTAGGGGAAAAATGACTGAAGTCGTGTACACACGTGGTAACAGATTATCAGAAGGGTATGGCGTAAAAGAGGCAGTGGCATTTGAAAGGTTGCTATGAGTTTCAGTATTTCTAGAGTGTGGGCAACCAGAGGGAAGTGACTGTAGATGAAACTGGAGAAGAAGGCAGAACCCCATAGCAGGAGCTCGTGTGTATCATATGGAGGAGTTTGTGGTCAGGCTCCACCAAAGGGCTGAAGCTCTCCTAACACTCTGCTGTGCTGCTTCCTCTTCCAGTGGGACCTCGTCTGTGAATCTCAGTCACAAAAATCAGTGGTTCAAACCGTGTTCCTGAGTGGGTCGCTGCTGGGAAGTCTGATATTTGGCTATCTCTCAGACAGGTAAGTGTCACCTCACTTTATTTGGGGTTGTTGACCACATGATCCACACATTCATGTATTTTAGAAGACTTTGATGAGATCACACTGTGCCCTTTATGCTGGGCTACATACTCACCTAATTGTCTGATTTCAGGGAGCTACAACAATAAGCATATTTGCTACATGACCTGGATATTATAATTTGTTATGACAAATCTATTCATTGTGTGCATAACAGGAGACATAAAGAGACATCTAAATAAGATTCAAGCAAGTTTCATGAGTGATTTTCAAAACACATTGAAGGGTATGAGATTTCTGAGTTGGAGTGAGTTCAATACAAGGAGAGGTAGAGAATTTGAGGCATGTTCAAAACCACAAAATTGTGAAATAATGTTGTTGGCCTTGGCGATGATAGGAAACACCTGGAACCTGTGAGGTCACTGGTGGTGGACACTTGTAGACTGGCATCACTTTGTGTCTGCAGCATAGATGCACATGTACAGTGGGTCGTCATTGTTGTAAAATCTCTTGTTGTGAAATAACATCGGGTAGATATGGTGGTAAACCTTACAGCAATAACCTGAGAGCTGAACCTTGTGAAATAGGTACAATAGGTAATATTTGCCACCATAAAATGTAAATCATCTTAAGAAATTATGATGACATGGTTTTAGTATAAAATTGGAGATTTCTTGTGTCTCGGATCAGCTTCTGAAGGAGGCAACCATGCCTGTCAATCAGGATGCCTCTTACTAGAACAATCAGAGAATGACAGACGCTCATTGCCAGCCAGTTGTCAAAGTTAAAAGCTATGTATGCCCTTTGAATTTACACAGTTACATATTACATATATAGAAGTAACTTGTCCTAGCTTTCTTTCATATATATATATATATATATATATATATAAAGGGAAAATGTTCATATATTTTTTTTCTTTTTTTTTTTAACTTTTATTTAATGAATATACGTTTCCAAGGTACGAATAATGGATTACTATGGCTTCCCCCCCATACCGTCCCTCCCACCCACAACCCTCCCCTTTCCCACTCCCTCTCCCCTTCCATTCACATCAAGATTCATTTTCAATTATCTTAATATACAGAAGATCAGCTTAGTATACATTAAGTAAGGATTTCAACAGTTTGCTCCCACACAGAAACATAAAGTGAAAAATAATAGATGATTTTTTTTAATGATGATGAAATCAGATCAGACCTATTGTCATGTTTAATCCCAGTGAGAGTCAAGTTGGGAGTTGATAGTTTCTTTTCTTTTCTTTTCTTTTCTTTTCTTTTTTTTTTTTTTTTTTACAGAGGATCAGTTTAGTATGCATTAAGTAAAGATTTCAACAGTTTGCACCCCCATAGAAACACAAAGTGAAATATATTATTTGAGTACTCGTTATAGCATTAAATCTCAATGCACAGCACATTAAGGACAGAGATCCTACATGAGGAGTAAGTGCACAGTGACTCCTGTTGTTGACTTTACCAATTGACACTCCTGTCTATGGCATCAGTAATCTCCCTATGCTCCAGTCATGAGTTTCCAAGGCTATGGAAGCCCCTTGAGTTCTCCGACTCTTATCTTGTTTAGACAAGGTCATAGTCAAAGTGGAGGTTCTCTCCTCCCTTCAGAGAAAGGTACCTCCTTCTTTGAAGACCTGTTCTTTCCACTGAGATCTCACTCACAGAGATCTTTTGCCAGAGTGTCTTGGCTTTCCATGCCTGAAATACTCTCATGGGCTTTTCAGCCAGATCTGAATGCCTTTAGGGCTGATTCTGAGGCCAGAGTGCTATTTAGGGCATCTGCCATTCTATGAGTCTGCTGAGTATCTCACTTCCCATGTTGGATCACTCTCCCCTTTATTTATTCTATCGGTTAGTGTTAGCAGGTACTAGACTTGCTTATGTGCTCCCTTTGACTCTTAGTCCTTTCATTATGATCAGTTGCGAACTGAAATTGATCACTTGGACTAGTGAGATGGCATTGGTACATGCCACCTTGATGGGATTAAATTGGAGTCCCCTGGTATGTTTCTAACTCTACCATTTGGGGCAAGTCAGCTTGAGCATGTCCCAAATTATATATCTCTTCCCTCTCTTATTCCTACTCTTATGTTTAACAGGGATCACATTTCAGTTAAATTTCAACACTTAAGAATAACTGTGTATTAATTACAGAATTAAATCAGTCATATTAAGTAGAACAGACAAAAAAAACTACTAAGAGGGATTAATGTATTAAGTTGTTCATTAACAGTCAGGGCTATGCTGATCAAGTCACCGTTTCCCATAGTGTCCCTTTCACTTCAACAAGTTTCCTTTTTGGTGTTGAGTCAGTTGTCACCGATCAGGGAGAACATATGGTATTTGTCCCTTTGGGACTGGCTTATTTCACTCAGCATGATGTGTTCCAGATTCCTCCATTTTGTTGCAAATGACTGGATTTCGTTGTTTCTTACTGCAGTATAGTATTCTAAAGAGTACATATCCCATAATTTCTTTATCCAGTCTACCGTTGATGGGCATTTAGGTTGGTTCCAGGTCTTAGCTATTGTGAATTGTGCTGCAATAAACATTAGGCTGCAGACCGCTTTTTTGTTTGCCAATTTAAATTCCTTTGGGTAAATTCCAAGGAGTGGGATGGCTGGGTCGAACGGTAGGGTTATCTTCAGGTTTCTGAGGAATCTCCAGACTGATTTCCATAGTGGCTTGACCAGTTTGCATTCCCACCAACAGTGGGTTAGTGTCCCTTTTTCCCCACATCCTCGCCAGCATCTGTTGTTGGTAGATTTCTGTATGTGAGCCATTCTAACCGGGGTGAGGTGGAACCTCATTGTGGTTTTGATTTGCATTTCTCTGATTGCTAATGACCTTGAACATTTTTTCATGTGCCTGTTGGCCATTTGGATTTCCTCTTTTGAAAAATGTCTATTGAGGTCCTTGGCCCATCTCTTAAGTGGGTTGTTGGTTTTGTTTTTGTGGAGTTTCTTGATCTCTTTGTAGATTCTGATTATTAACCCTTTATCTGTTGCATAGTTTGCAAATATTTTTTCCCATTCTGACGGTTGTCTCTTCACTCTCCTGACTGTTTCTTTTGCAGTACAGAAACTTCTCAATTTGATGCAATCCCAATAGTTAATTTTGGCTTTGACTGCCTGTGCCTCCCGGGTCTTTTCCAGAAACTCTTTGCCTGTGCCAATATCTTGAAGGGTTTCTCCAATGTTCTCTAGTAACTTGATGGTGTCAGGTCGTAGATTTAGGTCTTTAATCCATGTTGAGTGGATTTTTGTGTAAGGTGTAAGGTAGGGGTCTTGCTTCATGATTCTGCACGTGGAAATCCAATTTTCCCAGCACCATTTTTTGAATAGACTGTCCTTGCTCAAGGAATTAGTTTTAGATCCTTGATCAAATATAAGTTGGCTGTAGATGTTTGGGTTGATTTCTGGTATTTCAATTCTGTTCCATTGGTCTATCCTTCTGTTTCTGTACCAGTACCATGCTGTTTTGATTACAACTGCCCTGTAGTATGTCCTGAAATCTGGTATTGTGATGCCTCCGGCTTTGTTTTTGTTGTACAAGATTGCTTTAGCTATTCGAGGTCTCTTGTGTCTCCATATAAATTTCAGCACCAATTTTTCCAGATCTGAGAAGAAGGTCTTCGGTATCTTGATTGGTATTGCATTGAATCTATAAATTGCTTTTGGGAGAATGGACATTTTGATGATATTGATTCTTCCAATCCATGAGCATGGAAGATTTTTCCATTTCTTGGTATCCTCTTCTATTGCTTTCTTTAAGGTTTTGTAATTTTCATCGTAGAGATCTTTAACGTCCTTGGTTAAGTTTATTCCAAGGTATTTGATTGTTTTTGTAGCTATTGTGAATGGGATTGATCTTAGAATTTCTTCCTCAGCCATGGCATTGTCTGTGTATACAAAGGCTGTTGATTTTTGTGCATTGATTTTATACCCTGCTACTTTGCCAAACTCTTCTATGAGTTCCAATAGTCTCTTGGTAGAGTTCTTTGGGTCCCCTAAATAAAGAATCATGTCATCTGCAAAGAGGGATAGTTTGAGTTCTTCCTTCCCAATTTGTATCCCTTTAATTTCTTTTTCTTGCCTAATAGCTCTGGCTAGAACCTCCAGAACTATATTGAATAGCAGTGGTGAGAGTGGACATCCCTGTCTGGTCCCAGATCTCAGTGGAAATGCTTCCAACTTTTCCCCATTCAATAGGATGTTGGCTGTGGGTTTTTCATAGATTGCTTTGATTGTATTGAGGAATGTTCCTTCCAAACCCAGTTTGCTTAGAGTTTTCATCATGAACGGGTGTTGTATTTTATCAAATGCTTTCTCGGCATCTATTGAGAGAATCATATGGTTTTTCTTCTGCAGTCTGTTAATGTGGTGAATCACATTGATTGTCTTGCGCACATTAAACCATCCCTGCATACCAGGGATAAATCCCACTTGGTCTGGGTGGATGATCTTTCTGATGTGTTGTTGCATTCTATTGGCGAGAATTTTATTGAGGATTTTTGCATCTATGTTCATCAGGGATATTGGTCTGTAATTCTCTTTCAGTGCTGCATCTTTTCCCGGCTTAGGAATTAAGGTGATGCTGGCTTCATAGAAAGAATTTGGGAGGATTCCCTCTTCTTCAATTGTTCTGAATAGTTTGAGAAGAATTGGAGTTAGTTCTTCTTTAAATGTCTGGTAGAATTCAGCAGTGAATCCATCTGGTCCTGGGCTTTTCTTTGTTGGGAGGGCCTTTATTACTGTTTCAATTTCTGTCTCAGTTATGGGTCTGTTTAGGTTTTCGATGTCTTCCTGGTTCAATTTAGGTAGGTTGCATGTGTCCAGGAATCTATCCATTTCTGATAGGTTTCCCTGTTTGCTGGCATACAAGTCCTTGTAGTAATTTCTGATGATTCTTTTTATTTCTGTGGTGTCTGTTGTTACATTTCCTTTTTCATCTCTGATTTTATTGATTTGGGTCTTTTCTCTTCTT